AGATGCTGGTTGTGTGCAGTAATCCATCATACAAGTATTAACAAAGATATTATAAATTACTTTTCATGTTTTTGGCTGAAATTTTGACTAAGATGTGATTGGATTTTAATAGTTGGTGATTTTAATATTCACGTCTGTTCCCCTGATGGATCGTTTGCTCAGCAGTTTTTAAATCTTATTCAATCTTTTAACCTTGTACAGTCTGTAGAAAGCCCTACACAACAGCAGGGGCACACTCTTTAAACTGACCTTGACCTCTGTCTCGGTTTGCTCAAATGTTAGACTCAAAACTCACTTTCCTTTCAAAGCTATTGGAAAAAATCGTTTTTTCCCAACTGATTATGTTTTTGGATAGTAATGGTGTTTTTTCAGTCTGGTTTTAAACATCTACACTCCACTAAAACAACACTTTTACGGGCTTTTAATTACATAATTCTACCAAATGATTGCGTAAGTTTTGTAATTCTTGTGCTTTTAGATCTTACTGCAGCCTGTGATGCTGTTGACCAACCACAGTATTCTTGGAACACTGATCTAAAGGTTTGAAGGACCTTAGATCAGCTGACCTGCTGCTTTCGGTTTCCCAAAACTGGTTGAAACTTAGAGGAGAAAAAGCTTTTTCAATTGTGGCTCCAAAACTTTGGAATACGTTGCCTTTAAATATCTATACAGGTACATACTTCGCTTCTTCCTTTTAAGTCTCTTTTGAAAACACAACTTTTTTCAGTAGCATTTAGACTGGTGTGAGTTGATATGCTTTGTTTCCCTTCATGTGCGTGTTTTAATATGAATGGTTTTATCTTTTGTTTTATATCTTGTTTTTTTTTTTGTACAGCACTTTGGGCAAACTTTCCACTTTTTAAATGTGCTATATAAATAAATTAGATTTGGATTGTATTTGAAAACCATTAATCTATAAATCAACACTAAACTTTCCAGGTGATGGCTATCTGATCATTTGTAACCTCTAATTATAATTATTCCAACTCACTGGAATCAGAAAAAGCATTATTTTAATTACTTTTATATATTTAACAAATAGTTTCGAATCCTTAGGTAAAAAAGCATAAAGTCTGACATCTTGAAGTAAATGTGAACAGTAATCTATGGTGTGGAGGGTAAAATATTAATTAATTCAGTGTGAAAACACTGCCACCATGAGGTAAAAGTGAAACATTACATAATTATGAAAAGACACATTTGTGGGATCATAAATTATGCTTAATCCACTGGATATAATTTTGCATGTGACTGATTCTTCACCAGATTCACCTTTTGTTAAATCTGTTGTGCAGAACAGAAGAAGAGCACTGTCAGGACCCCCTGAGTTTCACAGAATTTCAGACTTTACTTTTCACAGGAGGTTAAAAACACATCATCTGTGGTGATCTTAAGATGCCCCCAGCAAAGTCACAGGAGTGTTATACCCACTGAGATGTAAACTCATCCCTCTTACCTAAATGGACATTGATTCGTTTCTGAAAATAGCTGCAGCACAAATTGGTTGTTAATAGATTAGTACGACTGTCATGCTGCTATGAGAGAGTATTAAGAAGAAAAAAAAAAACATTGTCAATTTTGAGATTAAGCTCCAAACTCATATTTGACAAAGTTGAAATTTGGCCCTCACAGTCGTTTCCAGCCGAACAACTGCCACAGTGCTTATACCCTCTACAAAATGCTTGTGTAGATGAGTCAGTGAAACACATTGGTCTCATTGTGTCTTGTGATACAACACACATATTCTTTATTGCACAAGACTGTAAATATCCATATTTCCACTCCCAGCTATTTCATTTAGCACAAATCTGGCAAACTCTTTCATGTTTGTGTGTTTTTTCCTTTTAACCAGATGCAGATTTGTGCGCCATCTCTTCTTTGTTATACTCATCACCACAATGTGTTGGTTACTGAAGACATGCTGAATTATGATATCACCAAATAATATACACGGGATATAGGCCCTTTGTACATTACTCATTTAGCCTCAAAAAATATTAAATATTCCAACAAAAAAATACACAAAAATGACATAAAACATAAAAAATGTTTGTATGTTTACTCTGGTCTGAGGTGCTGGGGGGACCAGTTAGAGACCAGCAGCTGGACGTCAGTGGTTGGACTGGTGGACTACTTCAGTGAAGAGTAGACGACGTCTGGCTCTGGTTTAAAGTCTGAACACAAACACACACAGTTCAAACAACAGGAAACATGATTACAAGCTTTGTAGTTCAGTCAAGACCTCCAACCTCCACCTCTCTGCATCACACACAGTCCCAGTTCAACTGGGTCAGAGCTCTGAGTTTGATCCAGGATGAGGTTTGATCAGCTTATCTTAGCATGATGGATGCAAACAGGGTGAGCAGCGAGCTTGTCTCTATGCAAAGTCAAAGATAAAGAGCAGCTGTACCTGGGCCTGCTTGTTCTGATGGTTGTTTGTCCAGAACTGACGTCTTCACTTCTCACTGCTGAGTAGACCACAACTACAAAATCAATATCTGCAAAATGAAAACAAAACTCATTGAAGCTACAACAATACACCAGTACAGCTACACACAGCAAAACATTTTTACTGTTTCTAATGTTTCATCACGAGAGTCCATGACAGTGGACAAGGGTCACATTTGTAACCAGATGAATTTGTCCCCCAACACTGTTTGTGTGACTTCCCAGAGTTTATCGTCCAATATAGTGAAGAAATTACAAGAACTGTAAATCTTTCTGTTCTTCACACGGTTCAATAACCTGAGAAATGTGATGTATCATGAACAGGAGGAGCTACATGTCACCGATGTTCTGGTTTATAAACCGCAGCATCTTCTTACAGGTTTTTTTCCTCATCTTAACACCTCTGCTGTGAAACACTGAGTGACCACAAAGAACTGGAGGCTGTTTCTGAGAAAGATGCAGGTGGACGACCACAAAGCTGCCATCTTTTTCCACTGCAGACTGACACTCTTCACCACAGAGCACAAAGCAAACACGTTCTCACAACATGAACACTATTATTAGACAAACCAGTAAAAACTGTGGTGAGAATGAACTGTGTGATGGATGAACTGTAATCAACAACAGGAAGTTGGTTTTACAGTTTGCTAAACTTTGACACGGTAAAAAGTGTTTATTATATTAAACAGACATTCTTGTCATATTATGTTTCTATATATGACAACAAACTCCGTCGCTGGCAAAACTCACCTGTACTGGTTCAAGCCGTGCCAGTGCCGGCAGCCCCTCTTCAGGCCAGTGCTGGCACATTAGCTTGCCATAACTGGGAGTGGTAGGTGACTAATTAACTTTGATGAGAACATGAAGCGTACAAATCAGCATTTATGTAATGCATCGCAATCAGCAGCGATACATTCAGCTTAAGCTCTCAACACTGCACAATACACACTGATTCTGAGTGTCACAACACTACCTGCCATCTGGACTCTGAGGCTGAGCATTAGTTAAAGTCAAATGAATCCACTAAAGAAAATTGCTGATCTGCACATTTTTTTCCTCTTATCTAGCGGCAGGGGAGCACCCTAAGAAAGAAGCCCAGAACTCCCCTCCTCTGCCACCTCCTCCAGTTCTCGTCCGGGGAAACACCAGGCGTTCCCAAAGCGCGAGAGATATTATCTTCAGCATGTCCTGGGTCTGCTCACCTGCGACCCCAGTGGGCTATCCTCAGAAAACCCCAATGTACAGGCAGCAAGCTGAGGGGATGCTAAGATACCCAACCCAGCCTGCCACCTCTCCTGACTGTATCAGTACTGTATTTTCTTTGAATTGTTGCCTTTTTGGGGTGGAGGTGTGTCCCAGGGATCCCAGGGGCTATGTTGTTGTGGGCTTTTTGTCCCTTTGTTAGGGTCTGCTGTAACAAATTGGTCCTGGGTGAGGGACCAGAGAAAGAGCAATTCAACAACTGTTATGAAAAGAGGTCCATGTGGCCTGGCTGGGCAAAGCCCAAAAAAGAGACACTTTTGTCGGCCCGGCACCCACATGAGGAGCTGTAGGGGTTAGGTATAGCTGTGGGGGCGTGGCCAGGAGCGGAGACCCTGGTCGACCCACCCCTGGCTATCGAGACTACCAAGTTCATCTTTGACACAATAAGATATATCCAGTACATCTCACATCTTTCTGTGTGTGTTCCAGTTTCAGCTGCTGACCAGCTCTTTTTGGGGCGGGGCAACCATGTTTATTGCAGATTTAGATTATATGAAATTCTCCTTGAAATGTCTGTTTACACGTTTTTTAAATCATCGTTATTTGTTTTCAATACTTCCTAGTCTTTACAGGATTATTTACGATGATTTAAAAAACGTGTAAACAGACATTTCAAGGAGAATTTCATATAATCTAAATCTGCAATAAACATGGTTGCCCCGCCCCAAAAAGAGCTGGTCAGCAGCTGAAACTGGAACACACACAGAAAGATGTGAGATGTACTGGATATATCTTATTGTGTCAAAGATGAACTTGGTAGTCTCGATAGCCAGGGGTGGGTCGACCAGGGTCTCCGCTCCTGGCCACGCCCCCACAGCTATACCTAACCCCTACAGCTCCTCATGTGGGTGCCGGGCCGACAAAAGTGTCTCTTTTTTGGGCTTTGCCCAGCCAGGCCACATGGACCTCTTTTCATAACAGTTGTTGAATTGCTCTTTCTCTGGTCCCTCACCCAGGACCAATTTGTTACAGCAGACCCTAACAAAGGGACAAAAAGCCCACAACAACATAGCCCCTGGGATCCCTGGGACACACCTCCACCCCAAAAAGGCAACAATTCAAAGAAAATACAGTACTGATACAGTCAGGAGAGGTGGCAGGCTGGGTTGGGTATCTTAGCATCCCCTCAGCTTGCTGCCTGTACATTGGGGTTTTCTGAGGATAGCCCACTGGGTGGAGGCCTGAGCCAGACCCAGGACACGCTGAAGGGATAATATCTCTCGGCTGGCCTTGGGAACGCCTTGGTGTTCCCCGGAGGAGGAACTGGAGGAGGTGGCGAGGGAGAGGGAGTTCTGGGCTTCTTTCCTTAGGCTGCTGCCCCTGCAACCCGGCTCTAGATAAGAGGAAAAAAATGTGGCAGATCAGCAATTTTCTTTAGGGATTATTTGACTTTAACTAATGGCTCAGCCTCAAGTCCAGGTGGCAGGTGTGTTGTGACACTCAGAATATTATCAGTGTTGTAACTGAGTAGTAGGAGCTCAGAGCAGCTCTGATTAGTCCCATATGTGTCTGCTGTTTGGTTTTTAGCGCATTTATTGTCACTATTAGACATATAATGAAAAAAGTTCTTGTTTAATATAAAAAAAAAACCTTTTAAACTGTTTCAACATTCTGCAAAATGTAAAACATCAGCAACTTCCGATTGTTGATTACAGTTCATCCATCACACAGTTCATTCTCACCACAGTTTTTACTGGTTTGTCTAATAATAGTGTTCATGTTGTGAGAACGTGTTTGCTTTGTGCTCTGTGGTGAAGAGTGTCAGTCTGCAGTGGAAAAAGATTTGTCCAGAACTGACGTCTTCACTTCTCACTGCTGAGTAGATCACAACTACAAAATAAATATCTGCAAAATGAAAACAAAACTCATTGAAGCTACAACAACTACACCAGTGCAGCTACACAAAGCAAAGCATTTTTACTGTTTCTAATGTTTCATCACGAGAGTCCATGACAATGGACAAGGGTCACATTTGCAACCAGAGGAATTTGTCCACCCCAAACACTGTTTGTGTGACTTCCCAGAGTTTATCGTCCAATATAGTGAAGAAATTACAAGAACATGTAAACTTTCTTTCTGTTCTTCACACGGTTCAATAACCTGAGAAATGTGATGTATCATGAACAGGAGGAGCTACATGTCACTGATGTTCTGGTTTATAAACCGCAGCATCTTTGTACAGTTTTTTTCCTCATCTTAACACCTCTGCTGTGAAACACTGAGTGACCACAAAGAACTGGAGGCTGTTTCTGAGAAAGATGCAGGTGGACGACCACAAAGCTGCCATCTTTTTCCACTGCAGACTGACACTCTTCACCACAGAGCACAAAGCAAAGATGTTCTCACAACATGAACACTATTGTTAGACAAACCAGTAAAACCCTCGGTGAGAATGTTCATCTGTTATAGACTACCGTAACTGTAATCAACAACAGGAAGTTGCTGATGTTTTACAGTTTGCAGAACGTTGAAACAGTTTAAAAGTTTTTTTAATATTAAACAAGAACTTTTTTTCATTATATGTCTAATAGTGACAATAAATGCGCTAAAAACCAAACAGCAGACACATATGGGACTAATAAGAGCTGCTCTGAGCTCCTACTACTCAGTTACAACACTGATAATATTCTGAGTGTCACAACACACCTGCCATCTGGACTTGAGGCTGAGCCATTAGTTAAAGTCAAATAATCCCTGATCTGCCACATTTTTTTCCGCTTATCTAGAGCCGGGTTGCAGGGGCAGCAGCCTAAGGAGAGAAGCCCAGAACTCCCTCTCCCTCGCCACCTCCTCCAGTTCCTCCTCCGGGGAACACCGAGGCGTTCCCAAGGCCAGCCGAGAGATATTACCCCTTCAGCATGTCCTGGGTCTGGCTCAGGCCTCCACCCAGTGGGCTATCCTCAGAAAACCCCAATGTACAGGCAGCAAGCTGAGGGGATGCTAAGATACCCAACCCGGCCCGCCACCTCTCCTGACTGTATCAGTACTGTATTTTCTTTGAATTGTTGCCTTTTTGTGGTGGAGGTGTGTCCCAGGGATCCCAGGGGCTATGTTGTTGTGGGCTTTTTGTCTCTTTGTTAGGGTCTGCTGTAACAAATTGGTCCTGGGTGAGGCACCAGAGAAAGAGCAATTCAACAACTCTTATGAAAAGAGGTCCATGTGGCCTGGCTGGGCATAGCCCAAAAAAGAGACACTTTTGTCGGCCCCGCACCCACACGAGGAGCTGTAGGGGTTAGGTATAGCCGTGGGGGCGTGGCCAGGAGCGGAGACCCTGGTCGACCCACCCCTGGCTATCTAGACTACCAAGTTCATCTTTGACACAATAAGATATATCCAGTACATCTCACATTTTTCTGTGTGTGTTCCAGTTTCAGCTGCTGACTGGCTCTTTTTGGGGTGGGGCAACCATGTTCGTTGCAGATTTAGATTTATATGAAATTCTCCTTGAAATGTCTGTTTACACGTTTTTTAAATCATCGTTATTTGTTTTCAATACTTCCTTCATGAAAGTCTTTACATGATTATTTATACACTTCCAAAAAATATTAAAAACAGATCGTTGACCTCACATGAAAGGGCAATGACCCACAACCCACCATAAAGAAAAAAAATATTACCTCGTCTTTCTTTGACAGGTTGTTCTCGATGAGCTGATATCTTGATGATGACATGAGTGATGAGGTCATCTTCTTCACTTTCCTCTTGATCTACTGAAATGATCCAAGCTGATCAATAATACGAATTAAATATCTAAACAGAGATTTGACCCAAAACCAATG